AGGTCATGAATCTAGCTCACTGGTTATGGCAAAAAATCACTAAAGGACCACTGACAAAAATTATGTGGATTCAGACTAAATTCCTTGATTCCTCCCCCAAAACTATCATGTTATCCATCAAAAACCACTTTAAGAAACCCTACTTCTGAAAATAATAGTAAAGTTCCAGTTCCATATAAGCATAACTGTTTGGGACACACTAAGACCACGCTGTTTTGCTCATGGTCAGAGAATTCAAGACCCAAATAGGAAGTGCCACTTAATAGCCTACATAATTCCTAAGAGATACCTTCAAGTGATGAGAACGCATGGAAGTTTCAGTTTCTAAATCCTGCCTTGTCCCCAGTATGGTCTATTTAACTTGGAATGGATTAAAAAGAACTGGCCTAGTCTAGGTAGGTGGCTGATAAAGAGGTCTATTTCAGGATTTGGGGAACGTATTTCATTATAAAAGTGAAGGTATTGGCGGGCACGGTGGCTCACACCTATAATCCCAGCACTTTGGGAGGCCATGGCAGACAGATCACCTGAGGTCGGGAGTTTGAGACCAGCCTGACCAAAGTGGCGAAACTCCATCTCTACAAAAAATGCAAAAATTAGCTGGGCGTTGTGGCGCACACCTGTAATCCCAGCTACTCAGGAGGCTGAGGCAGGAGAATCGCTTGAACCTAGGATATGGAGGTTGCAGTGGGCCAAGATCACGCCACTGTACCCCAGCCTGGGTGACAGAATGAGACTAGGTCTCAAAAAAAAAAAAAAAAAAGTGAAGATATGTTCTTTTTCAGTCTGTATAAATAGCACCAAAATTGCAAAAGTGGAGAAAGCAAAGAAACCAAAGTAGTTGAGATTATACTACTCAAGGTATATTAGCATCACTGTGGAGACAAGGCAACTTCTCTAGAAACTTCACTTAAGAGGATTTTCTTTTTCCAAAACTTCAGTCTAAAAGTGGCCAGAAACTAGATATAGAGCCTGGTGGCCTAATATTATAAACCTAGGGAAGATAGATATGAAAGTATCTCTTGAAATATATTTTGTGAAAAAAATTGGATGTAAGAAAATCCAGATATCTTGGCTGCTAATTTATTTATTTATTTATTTATTTATTTATTTATTTATTTATTTTTCCCCAGCTAACCTAACTTGAGGCATTTAAACTTATTCACTTTGGGTGCTCCAGCGCTCGAACCTACATTTGCTATTTCTCTTTTCACCTTAGTTCTTGCTAAGACAAAAGATCTAATCTCCTGAATATAAGGAGATTGCTATTCTACAATTTAAATTTTATAAAGATTAATATAAAAACTAACAGAAAGTCCTTTATCTTGAGACTTTACCAAGAAATGTTCAGGCAACTAATTTTCATTAACAGTTATACTTGAGGAATTTTTCGTTCGCTATGTTTAAAAATTTTATTATAGAAAAATTTCTGACATATGCAAAGTAAGCACAATAATAGAATGAGACACTGCATGCCATCACCAGTTTTAAATGTATCAACATTCAGCCATTTTTTTCATCTATCCCTCTAATTACTCTCCACTCAATTGTAACTATTACTATAACTTGCAGGGGTTTTTTTGTTGTTTTTATTTTGAGACGGAGTCTCACTCTGTCGCCCAGGCCGGAGTGAGCGGCGCCATCTTGGCTCTCTGCAAGCTCCGCCTCCCGGGTTCCCGCCATTCTCCTGCCTCAGCCTCCCGAGTAGCTGGGACTACAGGCGCTGCCACTTCGCCCGGCTATTTTTTGTATTTCTTAGTAGAGACGGGGTTTCACCGTGTTAGCCAGGATGGTCTCGATCTCCTGACCTTGTGATCCTCCCACCTCGGCCTCACAAAGTGCTGGGATTACAGGCGTGAGCCACCACGCCCAGCCTACAGTTGTGATTTTTGAGGGAAAATTTACATACATTGAAATGAACTAATCTTAACTGTAAAATTTTGACACAAATTACAAAGCAGATGAACTCACACCCCTTTTGATGTAGAGCATTTCCATAACTCCAGAAAACCCGAATATATTGTCTCCCAGTCAGTTTCCCACCCGACTCACCGAAAGTGACCACCGTTTTGACTATTTAAATGTCCAGAAGATCTAGTAGAGAGAGTAGGAGGAGTGGATTAGAAGTGGATTATGAAAGAAATTCTGCAAGTTCCTCTGTTTCTTGTTGGTTCTCAAGGTTTTCTAGTCATTTCATTAACACATTACATAATATATAGGACGTGCATATTTTGAAATATGTAAAATGAAGATATGTGTGTGTATATATATATTTTGAAATATGTAAAATGAAGAGATGTGTGTGTGTGTGTGTGTGTGTGTGTGTATATATATATATATAAAATGTCCAGTGGAAGTTTCTGAAGAGGAACAATTAAAAAATAACGAGAGAGAGAAAAAGAGAAAAAGATGGGAAGAGTACGTGCCAACATTCCCAGTCCACCTTTAGTTATGTCTCCAGTGTCAAATGTTTGCACTATACTCTTGCTCCTCAAAATATGGTCTGCGGGCCAGCAGCAGACTCTCAGACTCCACACCCTAACCTACTGAATGAGAATCTGCATTTTAACAAGATCATATGTGCGTTGCATTTTGAGAAGGCTATTCTTAATCACCATGTAATATAACTGTCATGCAAAAGAAAGGAAAATGAATAGAACCTGAAAGAAGGATACATATAGTATCAGCAAATAAACTATGCAATGTAAAGAAAATTTCTGTTGACTCTATAACTGTGTAATGCATCGTTATTTTAAAAATATAGAACAGGAAAGTAGAGATATATTTTAAGTATCTTTCCTATTCATTTCTTTGGGGAAGAAGGTCAGCCTAAAATATGAGAAAAGATACTGTGATTGGCTCTTTTCAATGTTTTTTCTGTTCATCTTAAGGCTTCGGGTAACCCTACAATCTATCACATTAGCCAATATTAAAATCAACAAATTTACACTTTTTAAAATTTTACTTGAATGAGTTCATTAACATTTTATGATTTATACAGTTGCTATCAAATTTTATGTGTCCAATTAATATTACATTAAATGCTACTTTTGTAAGGGAAACAGCTAAAAGAAGCAGATGTGTGAGTTCTTAAAGTGCAGCTGTTATAAAAAGTAAACAACCAGCAGTAATACTTTGCAGTAATTTCTCATATATTGTGCAGCATAATTATAAGAATCATTTGTCAAGAGATCGATATTTTCTCACTCTGACACTGCTTAGAGCTAGGAACAAGTAAACATTGGGCACAGAGTTATAAAAAAAGAAAATAAATGTAAAAATGAGGCAACATATTTGTATAAATCTATGAAACTGAAAAGTAAAAGAACCTTATAATATTTTAAATATAAGCAAAGAATCATAAATGCATCTGAATTGTTCTGACATATTTTGGTTGAAAACTCATTGTGTCTTTTATTTAACATTTTTTAATGGAATTGTACCTAATTTTCAAGTGCCAAAATCTTAGTAAATGACTTTAGTAAAAATGAGATGAGATATTTCACAGGACACACGTTTATAAAAAATTCTGCATAGAATTCTGTCTCCTGCATGATTTACTTTCAGTTAAAAGATGGAATTGAGATTTCATGCTTCTGTTCTCCTTTCTAAATGTTAGAGATTTTCTTACTCTTCAGAATTGCCTAACATACATAAAACATTTTGAGGTAAAAATCTCAATTAGGTCGTTTTCCCTTAATATGTGAACCCAAATATAAACACATTTTCAAGAACAAGACATGTCTATCCATTTTATGTTTTACTAATGGTTATTTTATTTATCTTTAAAATCACTCAATATGGTAAATTCATACTTCTGAAATAAGTGATAGTGAACCTTGCATATGTCTATTAATCAAATATTACATGCAAATCCAATCTTTGCATAAGGCACAAAGATTGAGAAACTGAATTTATTCATTTTTGTTATTAATACATTTTAAAATGTTTTTAAAATAAATTACTTAATATGTGTTAAAATCAAATATTTTATGTGAAAGGACTTATTTCCTGACAATATCAAAGTTTATTTGATACTGAATGATGAAAAAAAATGACAGAAAGCATAAGAAAATTGAATACATTTTTCTATCAACTAAATTTAAGATGTTGTTATAATGATACCTTAACCTTATCCTATCAGTTTGATTTCTAAACCTTTAAAATTATCCTCTTCTTATCAGCTACTTCAGACTTGAGAAATTACAAATTAAGCAAAGTATTATTAAACTTCTTTTTCACAGAGAACAAATAATCCTTTAGTGCACCATTTAACGATGGATCTAAATCATGCACAGCAAGTTTAAATATCGATAAATGAATTCACATCTTGTAGAAAGTACTCTTATTCATGCTGAAATAAATTCCTCAGCCAAGTGAAGAGCATTCATCTCAATGTAAATTTCACTGCAAATATATACTTAAGTATTCAAAATATTCAGATGACTGTGCTCCTTTTCTTTCCAAAGATGACAACTTTCTCATCCTAAGTATTCTTTAGCAGTTTATGTTCACCTCACATTGTTCATGTTAAAGTTATATTTCAAATGCATTGTGCTTTCTTTTTAGCACAGCCATATGGTTGTAAATTTGCCCTTCGCAACTGTGCTTGTGGCTCAGAAAATTAAGATTGTGTTTTAGTAAAACTTACAGCTAAGAGAAAAGAAAGACTACTTTTGTAAGATGATATACATTGTTTTAATGGAGTATGTAAGAGTGTCTTGGGACAGATTATAAGCTAGGTAAGCCTGAGACCAAAGAAATAAAATTGCTGCGCCCTACCCTTTTATTGTCTTTCTGGATCTAACCCTTAGAATTTATTTTTAAAGTAAGTATATTTTTATTTAATTGAATTGAAATAGATTAAATGTTAAAATCACAAATGTTTGCTTCTTAAAAATTGATAAAGGTAGGGAGAAGGTGTTTCCATTATCTTGAATAAATGCAATCTGTTTTATTTTGAAAGGTGTCACATTTTAAAATTCATATTTTATTTTCAGATGTAAAATATTTAAAAGAAGAGGATGCAAATCGCAAGACATTCACTGTCAGCAGCACACTGGACTTCCGAGTGGACCGGAGTGATGATGGAGTGGCGGTCATCTGCAGAGTAGATCACGAATCCCTCAATGCCACCCCTCAGGTAGCCATGCAGGTGCTAGAAATACACTGTAAGTAAACACTACTTCCCCCTCCTTTATCTCTGCAGCAAATCTCTTCATCTGCATCTCAAATCATTTCAAAACTACCTGAAGTCATAGTCAAGGTGCAGTAAAATCCACAGCAAAATGAAGTAAAACTACGCTCGCTAGTATTAATCAGGTTCAAAGGAAAACACTCCTTGCCTGAGTTTCATTTGTAACAGTGAGGAACATTGAAGGAGATGTATAAGGTTAATACCCCTATGTTTCAAATTGTGGCTTTAGGTAGGTGTGCACGTAAGGGTAGGGGAGAAAAAGTGGTAATTTGGGCAAAATCACTGAGAATTGGTAATCTGAGAGGGCTTTGATGAACAGTGTTATATTAAAATAACTTTATCCTATGCAAATGTGGCTTCTCAGCTATGCTTTTAAAAGTTAGACTAGTTTTACCTTCTATGTGGTATATACTAATGTTGTATAAATATAGGAACATATTTATTATGTTTTCTTCATCATCATTATTCATAATCAATAAGAACAAAATTAATTTTGTGAATCTAATAGACCAGGGCAGTGCTAAATGTTTTGCTGGTATTATGTCATTGAGTACTCATTTACTAATAGTTGCCCCGAGTAGTTACTCTCATTAGTCACAAGATACACACAAGGATTCTGAAGACTATAGAGGCTGAGTCACACAACTAGCAAACTTGTGATCATGGCAGTTTTAGTACTTAGCAAAGTTTTAGTAGACAATTACATATACTAATCAAAATAAAAATGAATGAATTGAAATATGTGAAATAAAATATAAAAGAATAGAGGATAGGAGATAATATGTTCTGAATTGCAGTATTGGATTTCCTAGGTGTGGGAGATAATATGTTCTAAATTGCAGTATTTGATTTTCTAGGTAATGAAGATTTTGTTTTCTCTTTCTATTTGTGACAAAATTATAGCTTGAGCTTAGAATTTGTGTGTGATATGCAATTATGCCAAATCCTAAAATGCTAAACTCTAAGTACTGTTTCAATATGTTTCATTGCATTTTGTTTTCATTTATTTGTTCAACAAAATTTTTTAGCGGCTGCTATGTAATAGGCATTGTTTTGGGCACTCGGGTTACAGCAATGACCAAGACAAACAAAAACACAAATTGAGTTTGTCTCCAAAGTGTCAAAATAATCACCTCCACTATCACCAACAAACTTCATTTCTCTTACAGCCTCCATTCTAGGTAGGGATGAAAATAAATAAATAAATGCAACATATCACATGTTACATATTGGTAAGTACTAAGTACATATTGATAAGCACATGGCAGCAAGGAAAATAAAGCAGAGGAGGGCAGTCAAGAGGCGGAAATGGAGATTAAGGAAAGCGACTATGTGTGTTGCTGTAATGCAGAGGGAAGGGCAAGCACAAAGACCCTGAGGTAGCAAGTTTACTGTTTTTATTTCTAGGAATAGTAAGGGTGCCAGTGATACCGGAGTAGAGTGGACTAGGAGAAAAATACAGAGTGTTAGGAGAAAAGATTGGAGAATTGCCAGGTGAACTAGAATTTTTTGGTTACTTTTTATATGGAAAATATAAAGCTGACTATAATATGCTTATTGTTTTAAAAATTATTCTTAGTTTAGTAGTTATTGAAAATACTATAATGTTTAAATGATTTCAATTAGGTTAGTTTTAGTAATTTACTCCTATTCTCCTTAAAGCAAATTCAGAAAGAAGCATACTGTGGAGCCCACATGGAGATTATCTGTCAATTTTGACATTTATTTGTATTTTGGCTGTGGGAAAATTACTGAAACTGGTTGAGCTTTGGTTATAAACTAGAGGAGTCATTCCTGTAGGGATGTGATGATAAGCTAGAGAATTAATTCCTTGAACTTAAGTCAAGTTCATGACATTTAATAGACTGAATAAATGTCCATTGCCTTCCTTTTCCTATTTCTTTTTCTTACATCAGTGGGTCTCTCAAAATACAAAATTTTTTTAACTATAAATATATGATTATTATTATTATTATTATTTTTTTTTTTTGAGGTGGAGTTTTGCTCTCTTGTTGCTCAGGCTGCGGTGCAATGGTGTGATCTCAGCTCACTGTAAACTCTGCCTCCCAGGTTCAAGCAATTCTCCTGCCTCAGCCTCCCGAGTAGCTGAGATTACAGGCATGCGCACCACCACACCTGGCTCATTTTTTTTTTTGTACTTTTTAGTGGAGACGGGGTTTTTCCATGTTGGTCAGGCTGGTCTTGAACTCCTGACCTCAGATGATCTGCCCACCTCGGCCTCCCAAAGCGCTGGGATTACAGGTGGGAGCCACCGCGCCCGGCTGTGTAACAATATTTTTAAAGGACCCAGATCAACAGCATTTTAATTTAAACTCTTTAATATTTACATACAAAGCAAAGTAAAACTAAATTTAAAATAATAGTTGACTACTTAGTTAACTGTAAATTCCAACATATAATTAAATAAAATAATAAAAGTCAGTCATAAGAGCTATGAAGACCACTGCCAGTCACAGATCACCAAAAGTCTACCAACAGTCAAGCAAAACTAGATTTATTTAAGTTTCTTGGCTAAGGAGAAAACACAGCAGATGAATCTCTGGATGGAGGTAAGAAACAGTGAGAAGAGACTTGTTATAGGAGTTAGGCTGTGCTTCTGGATTGTGTGTTCTCAGGATTAGGAGCATGTCAATGATCAGTGTATAAGTAACTTTAACTAAAAAATGAAAATATTGTAGGTTCGTTATTATAAAGAAACAATAGTTAATTATGCAAACTTTTGTGGACATTGAGGGTCCTGGTCTCTGTCTTGTTTCACTCCTGGTTATAAGATGAACTTGTCTTTGTTTTATTCCAGCCACAGTCACAGACTACCTTTATTTGATTACTCTATACATTCTGGAAAATTGTTTGTTGAGAATATTTTAGCCTGTATATCAGCTGCCAAGGTCATTTTCATGACTTTGGAAATCCAAAATGGAAGTATTATACAATTCTTGAGCATTTTAGCTATTAACCATATTTCAATATGTATGAATAAGTAAAAATTCATGGAGGAAGGCAATTGAATTATCTAATTTTTACAGAAAGTTTTACATTAAAAATGTTACACTTTTCATGGCTAGCCAATTAAAAATAGCATCTCATTCTATCACGGTTTAATATGTAAATGGCTAGAAGGCAGAAACTAGATCTATTTAAATTATTTTCCTAGCATCTAGCATACCATCATTCAAGTACGCGAAGTTAATTAAAACTAACTGATGATAATGCTAAATGTTTCTTTAAGCATGCAGAACATTCCCCAGAGACTAAATGAGTAGAGGGTGGAAAGGAGACATTGAGCAACAGTCAGCGTCAAAATTAGAGCAAACGGAGCAAATCCATGTGGTCTTCATAAAGATCTTAGAATAATGGTAACAGCATCTCAATGGTTGTTTCCGGAGACAGTAGATCATGGCTGCACATAGATCCACATGTGTAATCTAGATGATGTGGAACTTTCCATGAATGAGAAGAGGGAAAGTAGAGCTCAGGCTTGGAAAGGAAGAAGATGGGTTAATCTAGGATTTATGGAGCATACGTTTAGTAGTTCTCCATTGTCTGACAATATTCTTGTGATGAAAATCCTAAAAGGCTGGCCCAAATGGAGGAACATTTAGCATTTCGGATCCACAGAGATGATATTGTTTTCAGTGGTAAGTCAAAAGAATAAATATATATTCCTACAATAATGGAAACAGCTATGACTACATCTGAAATAAAAATCCTGTGATATTGTCGAAACCTAAGTTTGGTGAGCAATAAGAAAATTAAAGTTAAGCATACAATGCCAAGAGTATAACGAAAAAAGTATAGCAGGAGGAATTATATTTCAAGAGCTTAACTGTGTTAAGTCTATAACCTTGTGATATACAATTTATATGAATCTAGCCTGTAAAATATAACAGAGCAACGTTTTTAAAAATAAAATATTAATCATACATTTAAATACTGCCACCATGATGAAAGAGATTTCTTTTAAAACTGAAACTTAAGAAAATGAAAAGCAGAACTTTCACAGTGAATCACAAATGCCTGCAGATTTCACATAATCGGGCAGAGCAAGCTTCACAACTGAGCAGTGGGAAAAGCCACTTTTAAAAATTAATCAATGAAAACTCAAATTCGTCCTCCCATTTTCACACAGATTTCTTTGTAAAATAACTTTTTATCTGTGAGTTAATTTTTAGAAGAACAAATTGCATGAGTCCGATATTATTTAAATCTCAGTAGAAATAATATATCTGCACTCATAGAAAGTACTCTACACAAAACACAGAAAAGAAGAAAATGACTAAATATTCATTTTCTGTATGTATCATTGACAAAAATTACATGAAAAAAACTCAATGAAAATGAAAAATGCAAGAGACAGAAAACTAAAATATGTCAGACTGTTGCTTTTTTTCCTGAAAAAGCATTTTAATACTGTAACAAAAGAACTGAAAATATAGAAAAATAAGGGTTCAAATTTTAAAAATGGGTGAATAGTAAAGTACATTTTATATATAATTCATCTCATCATGAAATCTTATGCTATCGTTAATGTTTTTAGTACTTCCTCTAACAGTACTGGGCTTTGCCTATAAAAATGAGTCACTATTTACACATGAAGGTTATTAATGTTTAAAGCAATAAATAGTTAAAAGAGCTTGTAGAGGAGATCCTGCATGTACACAGAAACATTTCGATCTCAACATCAAGGAAAGGAAGGAATGAGTGGCTGAAGGAAGGAAGGAAGGAAGAGAGGGAAATAAGCTGATGTGTTAAAATTGTGTTTAAATGAAATTAATTAGGTTAATAATGAATGAAAATAAGAAATATATCATGTATATTTAAAATAACAGAAAAACGTGTGGGTCCAATTGTTACTAAAATTATATCTTTTTAAGGGGTTAAATGGTCAATTGACAGTCCTGACCTTTACCTTCTTGATGATTATATCTCTATTCTAGTTACCATGCAAATGAC